TTTAGGAGTACCGTTAATTTTTTCATGATCCAATGATCGGATCTAAACCAAATTAGTATGGGAACACATGTGGCACTACCTTTCCGGTAGAAAAATAATTCTCGAAATCGGTTGACGTGGTCCAAAGTTATGCGGTAACATACGAAAATAAAATATTATTAAAAAAAAATATTCCGACGAATTGAAAACCTTCTCCTTTTTTTGAAGTTAGTTAAAAATAAATAGGCAGATCTTGTTAGTATGTGGCGCTCTTATAATTATGCTACGCAGTGTACTATTAACTTGTTTGACTTGTGTTTTAGAGAAACTTTGAATTCTTAACTTGTTCAATATATACGTGTTAAAATCATATATGTAATACTCCTATATTGGCATTAATAGCTACTACCGTCCGAAAACACTACAGTACAGATATATCAATAAACACGTACGAAAGAAAAGGAACACATACGTTTATAAATAAACATGTACACAACACATACACAAAAACGGCACTCTCGTACACAATACATTGACAAAAACGGTACTAGACTGTCTCGCTTTGATTTCGGAATGCTTACACATTGAGAAGTTAGCTTACTGCCATTATAGAAGTATTACATATATGGTTAAAATAAATAAAAAAAAAAATTATGTTTTCAATGTGGAGAATTTGTCCTCCTGGAACGTTAAAAAATTCTGGTCACCTTAAGAAAGGTAATTTTTACAAATTTAGTGTTCAGTGGCGAGTTTCAATAACGATATTTGAGACAAATCGTTGATAACCAACTATTTTTTCTTTCCGTTTGCTGTGGCTTTGGCACAGAAGTTGATTAGTTCCTGCCGGCAATCAAGTCCTTTCAACCACAAAAAAAGCATTATTTGCAAGAAGTACTCACTAAAATTGTAAGTACTTTGCAACACTGAAAGACTAGCTAATGATGCGTCTTCACAGGCGAAAATTATTGCCTACCATATGTGACTTTGTTTGCCAGATATGTATGAGTTTCATCAGTGGAAATATTTGTGTGTATTTTTAAGATGGCTTAAAACAAGTATGTTCGTTGCATTGGTGCGCAAATATGCTTAAAAAAATTGGAAAATGCGTTATTTCACATCCAAGTACATAATCAAAAATAACACAGGTCCACCGGCGGATCCAGACTTTTTTTATGTTTTCTAGGAAATTTTCCACTTATTCTTATTCCTATAAACGAGTTATTCTTGTAGATATGCACATATTAGGGTGATCCAAAATAACTAACCTGGCGAATTTGTGGCTTTAAAATGGCCTACTTACTGAGAAGGAAATTCTCCCATTTGAAAAAATTTGTTTTTCCATTTTAAAAGGTCAGTGGGCATTTGAAATTTTCTATGTAAAAAATATGTGAAATAATTTGTTTTCATTAAAAATGTTATAACTTTTGATCCGTTAAAAAATGTTATAAAAAATAGATACAAGTTTTTTGTAGGCATCTTCTTGTAGGGCATTAAATTCTGTAAAAAATGACCTTGCCTTAGAGACAAGTATTAAATATGTTAATGATATTGCTGAAATAGCATTGAAACAAAATTATAATCGAACTTTGACGAAATACGAAGAACGAAAGCAATTTCTTTTGCAAGTAATACAATTACCATCAAATAATTTAACAAGTAATTTTTAAGCAAAAATCACAACCGACTTCAATTCTCATATAAAAATTTAGGAGTACCGTTAATTTTTCATGATCCAATGATCGGATCTAAACCAAATTAGTATGGGACCACCTTATGCGGTAACATACATAAAAAAAATATTCCGACGAATTGATAACCTTCTCCTTTTTTTGAAGTCGGTTAAAAATAACTAGTCAAAACTTGTTAATATGTGGCGGTCTTATAATTATGCAACGCAGTGTACTATTAACTTGTTTGACTTGTGTTTAGAGAAACTTCGAATTGTTAACTTAATGGTGATTTATGCGTTAACATCAAGGAATGAAACCGAAACCGTTTAAAACCGTTGTTTTTCAAAACTGAAACCGAAACCGTAACCGTTATCTTGACCTGAAAAGTAACGAAACCGAAATCGTTTCAAGTACAGGTTTATATCGGTTTTCAGAAATTTATAAAAATGATAAATTAAAATTTTTTTGAAATAAATGATTTATTTAACCGAAATGAGCAATATCTTGCTAACTTCTTGTTAAGAAATAAATAAGTATGGCAAAGTGACTTTTCGCAAAAAGCTGGTAAAAAGATGCCTAATAAATTAAATCTCCGATCTGGCATCGGTTATTTGGAAGAAGTCATTTTTATTTCCATTTTCACATGTATAGTTGTAAAGCGCACATAAATGAAGGGGTTTCATAATTATTTAGTAAATATTTGACGAAAATAACAATTAGTTTTCATACATCTTCAATTTTACAGCAAAACGGAAACATTTAAGTGAATCTGATGATGACGTTGTTGCTGTGTATCTGGTGATGACTTTGTTGCTGTGAATCAGTGAACTGTAATTTTTGATTTTCTTTCCACAACGTTTAAGACATTATGATTTTAAAAAAATATCAAAAAACTTTCTGTATGTATATGAAATACCTATAAGCAACAACTCTCATTATATAATAAACTAGCAGACCCAGCGAACTTCGTCCCGCCCAAAATTAATTTTTTTATTGAAACATTTGGTCCAACGTTTTCGCTAGCAATTCACGTTCATGTTTGGTTTTGTGGTCGACAGAAGGCATATCCTCCATTGCAGTCTCAAATAACCCGACTAAAGCGTTATACCGGGAAGAAGTCCTTGCGGCTCTACAGTGAATCGTCCTTCAATCTGTATAGTATAGTTGGAGGCAATTTCCTAACTGGGGAATATCATTGGTCCACATTCTGTTTAGTCACCGTAAAGCAAGGACCGCAATGGTTCTGATGGTTGATTTAACGGGAGTAATTTGACTTTGATCCCTGGTGCCTCCGAATCGACGATTTTTAGCAATAACTCGGCTCCAGCGCCACTAAAAATTATCACCAGAAAAGGTCATTTACATACTGACACTCTTCGGCATTTTTTCCCATACAAAAAAAAACTACCACGCATTTGTTATACGGAGAAAATGCGCAATATCATCAGCGAAAAAAATTCTCAAAAATCAACTAACTTACAGCCATTTGCACTTTATGATACTGAAATTGAGTGAGTTACAAAACTGCATACTCAAAATTTGGTGCCATTTGATGCCAAATGAACTATATTTCTATAAAAAATTAACAAAAAAATTTATTATGAAAAATAAAAACAACACGTCTTCTGGGTTTATATATTTACAGATAGGTAAAAGTTTCAATATGTTTGGAAAGCGCCACGCCCCCTTTTCCAGTAGTCCCAAAAGCTCTATACGAATTTCCAGGACACTACCGCAAATACTTCCAGAGATATACGGTATGAAAAATTCGATATGTGTGGGTGATGCCACGCTTCCTTAATATATCGAAAGTCTGCAGTAGGTGTCCAAAATTTCAAAAAATCGGTACAGCCGTTCGGGAGATCACCTCTTATAAAAAGAAGGAGCTTCTGTTTATATAATTAGTGTAGGTAACACAGGGCAACACCGATTTTGTTGCGGCAAATGTTAAAGCTGTTTTTGATAGGCTTTTTTGTGTTGATTAAGAATCCGTAAGTATGTATAATGTTTCCATCAGCTCCAGATTTTGAGAAAAATGTGGTGAAAGTGTCATAAAATCGCGTTTTTTGCAATATTTGAGAAGCTCTAGCAATGAAACAAGACTACTATCCCTGAATGCACTATTTCTGCACCTTGCCCTGGTGGTCACCTATACTCATTTACTTTTTACCGTCCAACAATAAAAAAATACTGGAAAAGTATGCAATGAAAAAAAAAAAATATGTTGTAAAAATCAGTGTTAGCTATTCAATAAATGACTATAGGTGACCTTAGGGTCAAGGTGCAGGAATGGTATTTTCAGGGATTGAAGTCAGAAGTGCAAGCAAATATTGAAAAAAAACGCGATTTTTTGACACTTTGGCCTCGTTTTTCATAAAATCTGGAGCTGCTGGGAACTTTATAATTACGGATTCGTAATCAGCACACAAAAATTCGGCAAAAATAGCGTTAACATTTGCTGCATCATTTTTGTTGGCCTGTGTAATAAGTATTGTTGAATAGCCAATACCCGTATGTTTGCGCCACCTTCAAACACCTTTCGAACTGTAAAACAATGACTCGATTCTATTCCACGCATATCTATAATACGGGTATCGATTTTCAAGCAAATCGGACCATAAATAAGATTTTTTGGAATAGATCGGTATCTCGTCCACCTATCAGAAAAAATACCCTATATGTTAACCCAGCCAATAAGCTACCTACGTGATACAAAAAAAGTCAATTTTCGATTTTTCCAATCTCCCGACTTTCCCGGAGGGTTTTCCCAAAATTTTCCTTCCTGGAAATTACGAACAGCTAAAAACAAATTTTAGCCAAATCGGCCCAACCGTTCTCATTGATGAATTACGATACATTTTTCACACCATTTTTATATATATATATATAGATAATATAATAAACAAATTTCTGCATTTAGATCTAAGCAAATGTGGAGGAATATGGTTATTAGTTTGTATAATCGATTCAGAGGTGTTTTCTCTATATAAATTAAAATTAATCACAATGTTTAATTTCGCCAAAAACAAACCATTTTTATTTAATAAATATTTGATATAAAAATCCACATAAGAATTAAGTGTCATCGATGCTGTTAATGCTAACCTTATGAATAGCTTTTTGGTAGAATTTACTATTGAATATCAAAGATAGAGTTAACATCAGTAATGACAGTTAAGTGTCAGATTGATTTCAAACCAGAAACTAGTTTTTCTGAAAATTGCATATAGAGGGTATTGAATATAAGCCCTCGATATATGGAATGAGGCAAAGATAAATCGTGGACATTCTTAATCGACTATACTCTATCTCTTTATCAGAAAAAAGGTATAAAATCTGTTCCTTGCTAATGTATTTCCTTAAGATAGTTCTCTTATTTTACTTACTTGAAGGGATGACCCTCGGGGGTCTTCTGTATGGCCTGCATCACTGATTTATAGATCCTGAACGACACTGTGCCAGCTAATGTCAGTAGTGACAGGTAGGCGAAAACGCTAATGACGGAGAAGCATGATATGGCGAGCAGTGTGACAAGTCCAGCACCAAAGAAAATACCAGATTTCTTAACATCTCTCCAATAAATGAGGGACTCCACTGTAAATAAAGAACGAGAGAAAGAAATTAACCCTTTCTTATACATTTACCATATTTGATAAAACTCAATATCTTTAAAATGAAAGTTTTTGTAACCATGAAAATATTTAAAATCTCATTAGAATCAGCTTCATTTTAATTATTGCATTTTCGTTTTTAATGTGAATGTGGAAATGCATACTTACACAAAACTACACACTAAATGAAACACACTCATTTATAAAACCTTATTGACAATTTTCTTGCTTTTACTATCCTAATGTTTTTGAGCATTTATTTTTTTATTCAAATACTTATTTCTAAAGTATGTTAGACACTTAAAAAAAAGTTTGATTGTTCTAAATTTACATCAGAACTTAACTTCAATAATTTAGCTATTAAATTTTTGCAATTCGAAATTTCCTTCTCATTACATTTATTAAAAATTACTTTCAGTTGCTTTATATCAACAAGAAATTCTGATTTAGGTTTTATCAGACCACAATTTGAAATTTGGTCTATCTATG